ATGCATCTAAATGCGCCACATGATCCTTCTCATTGGCCATAAGGCCAAAGAGGGACACGGCTAAGAAGACTTCGAAATGATATTGCAAGTGCTGAAGGTCTTTAAAGGAAAAAGGGAGCTCGACAGTGTCTATATCTGTGTATAGGTTGACCTCAAAGTCAAGGACTTGAACCTCACGTGTTTGCTAGAACCTAGCTTTTATTACTGGATCGGTAGTTTTCTGGATAATCTGTTCAGTATCAGGACAAGTTAATGCTAGGTCGAGGGCTTCCTGACATACCTTGGGTAGTTCGTACAAGTTATTGGCGGAATATTTCTTATGAAATTCTCATATGTATTCCAAGGATTCGCCGAGAAATGAAGGGTGTAAATTTGGCCGGACTTTTATTAACGGTTCTTGCGGGGGTAAGGGGGAAGCTTACTTTCGGCTTCTTGTTTGAAATGTTCGAAATGAGCTTTCATCTCTCTAAGCCGAATAAGGAGTTTGATACGTTTTTCGAACTTTTCAATGGTGGTTTCAAAGTCATGATCAACTGCCTTTTCTTCTTGAAATTATTCAGGCATAATGGTCGGGATAAGCCGGTCGTTGCAGCTTCCTGCTACCTCTTTTGGCTGCCACCAGGTAGTCGAATGAGCTTGTGCTTCTTGTCGTCGGGCCATGCAGTCTATCCGCTCGCGACGACGTTTTTGAGACTTTGACAATGTCGTGTACATACTAGTAGGAGAGTTGTAACTATACCAACGTTGGTCGGGTGGCTTAGGTGGCTTGAAGGTTTTTTGACCCACCGATGAACTCGAATTGCTGGAGTTACGTGAATAATAATCCTCATTATAGAATGGCGCATCAAAGTCAAGACATCGTCTAACTGGGTCTGGATCTTTTGTTCGTACCAGTGGGCCAAGTCTCTTGAACACTTGCCGGCGTTGGCAGGCACCGAGTTCCCCTAAAGGTTTTGCTGCGGCTGTGGATGGTTGGCATAAAGTTGAGGCTTGAGGTGTTCTTTTTTCAAGTTTGATTAGGACAACTCGTGTTTGATAGCGACCGCAAAAAACCATTGGTTTATCAGTTTCTTCGAAACTAGAACCTGACATAGGTTTGACAATGGTCGGTCCCGAAGACTCCGTGGGTGGTTCATTTGAATATAAATCAATCTTGAGTCTCGGCTGAGAGTTCTGCTTATGGATATGTTGTACTGAGACGAATTTGGCCTTCCCTTTTCCTTTGTTTTTAGGTAGATGTGCATCCACCATGCCAATTATCGTTGAGGGAAAGGGATTGACGTCAACCGCCATCTGTTTCCCAGGAAATTTTAACTTACCTTTATCAATCCAACTTTGAATCGCATCACGGAACACGATGCAATTATTAGTGGTATGCTTGCTTGAATTATGATATTTGCAATATGTTTTGCCTTTCAACTTTTTGGCCTTAGGGATGTTGTGTCCTGGCTGAAGTTTTATGATCTTTGCTAACAACAACTAATCGAAAATTGCATCAGCCTTGGTGATATCAAGAGTATAGACTTTCGATGTTTTAATTGTCTCTTCAAAGGCCGAGTGGGTTTTGGCATCCTTGGAATTGATTTGAGCTAATGCTTTGCAAACATATGATTTATCTATAACTATTTCAGCTTCGTTTATATTGGCGTATTGGGGATCCTCACTTTCGGCCAATGCGTAACTAATTATGGGATTCTTGTATATCATTCCCCGAGGATTTCCTCTCAAAACAAATAATCATACTGCTCAATGTGCTGAGACAGTTCGTACATATCTTGGATATTTGCCCTCAGGAATTTCTTTTTGTATTCCACATGCAGGCCATTTAGAGCAATTCTAACGAATTCAACTTCAGGGAGAGGTACTCGGCACCAATTCCTGGCCTACTTGAACCTTGTCAAGTATTCCATTGGTGACTTGTTTGAGGCTTGAGCCATCCTAGCTAATGATGAGACTGACATTTCCATCCCCGGTCGATAGAATTGTTCATGGAATTTTTCAACCAGTTCCTCCCAACTCTAGACGGAGTTAGGTGGGAGGTTGATGTACCAAGCAAATGTTGATCCTGTTAATGAGAAGTTGAATAATCGCAGTTTATAGAAGTCGCTATTAACGTCTCCACATTATGCAGTGAACTGAGCTACATGTTCCAGCGAGGATAAAAACAATTCTCCAGCAAAAAGACTGAAGTTCGAGATCTTGAAGCCTTTAGGATATTCGAACTTCTCCACATAAACCAGGTACGGATGGATGAACTTTGGGAACTTCGGCCCCTTTTTTAAGGCTGAATCGATCATCCTTTAGACCTCGGTCATATTGACAGATGCTGTTTCCACTCCCTGGTCGGGTTCGTCTGATCTATTGCTTGATCCTCCTTTTTTTTCCAAGTTAATCGGTTGAAGCTGAGCGGATCTTATCTCGGCTTGTAGTGGAACTTTCTTACTTGGAAGTTGCCGAGGTTGGTCGATGTGGCCATCTTCGAAGGCTTTACTGATAAATAGTTCAAGTAATCTTGTTACACCCGCCCCTGCTTATAAGGATAATTCTGTAATTCTCCCTAAAAATTTATAGAATTATCACTTTGGTCCTCATTTTGTCACACAATCAAGATCTGAAAATTTAAATTATTACCCTATCACCTAGACTGCCACGTGGCAGCACCCCAACTCCCTTACTTTTTCTCTTTTGTCCCCCCCTTTCCGTGACACCTTTTTCTTCTTCTCCTTTTTCTTTTCTTTTCTTTTCTTGTCTTTTCTTTTCTTTTGGTTTGTCTGCATCTTTCTTTCTCTCTCTTTCAAAAACTCTCTTTCTTCTTCTTCTTCTTCCCCGTGAAAGACACACACACACACACCCATTGTTGCACCTGCTTGAGGACACAGCCACCATCATCATCACCAAACCTTAGCTCTCTCTCTCTCCCTTGCTCGCGGTGCCGGAGTACGTCGAGCACCTCCGGCGAGTTTTGGTTGTTTTTCCGGTTGGGTAAGCATGGTTTCTCCCTTCTTAGTCTTGTTAGAGGTTGGTTAAATGTAGTTACTGAGATGGGTTCATGAATTTTCAAGGTTTTGGAGTGTTTTTGGCAAGGGTGGAGGTACACCCAATTTTCCGGCGAGTGCGTGTTTTCTGAGGGATTTTTCCGGCCACCACAAGCCGTTACACGGCGAACCCAAGGTATAAACTTACTCCTCTCCTCTAGTGCTTCATTTTGGTACCTAGATCGGGGGCTAGTTCGAGTGTTTGAAGTTGGCCGGAGCTATGGAAGCTCCGGTGGTCTTCTCCGGCGTACCCAAGCCTTCGGTCCGTTCTCTATCCACACCCACGGGCCTTAGGCCCGTTTGGTCTTTGGCCCAATACCCTCACCCTTTCAGTTTTTATTTTTAGTTTATTTCTTTTAAAAACCCAAAAGGCCTTAGGGCCTTGGTTGCAGCCCAAACCCATATCCCCTTTTTAATTAGGCCTTGGGCCGTGAGGTTCAAAAACCCAAACCCATTTTCTGTTAGCCCAAAACCCTAACCCAAAAATCTAAACCCAAAACCCATGACCCGTGACCCATGACCCTGACCCGTGACCCTGACCCCTGACCCGTGACCCGTTGACTGTTGACCCGGTCAACGTTGACTTTGACTTTGACCGGTCAACGGTCAACGTTGACTTTGACCGTTGACTTTTTGGGTTTTCGTGCGGGACCTCTCCTAGGCTAATTTCGACGTTCTGAACCCGTTTCCGATGTCCGTTTTCCCAAATTCAATCGTTTGAGTACAGTTTGACTGAAAGTAACAATTGTGTGTTTAGGTGCGATTCTTAGCGGAGATTTCGTTACTCCTGTTTGGTACGGCTTGCACCATCGGTGTACGGTGAGTGGACCCCTTCTAAAAATGCATGTTTTAATGGTAGAATTGCATACACAGAAAAGCATGACTTTACGATTATGTTTTATGAAACGTTTTGAGATAATATGCTTACTGAGGCTAGTTTGAATTATTACTATTTTTCCTACAACCCATGTTCTTATAGAATATCTGATGGATGACGATATGATATTTAGAACATGTTTAGAACACCTCTTTATAGTATAGATGATGGATGACTTTATACTATGAAGTTGATTTTCAATATATGTATGTTCACTGGTTTTGTACTTACCTAGTGGTCCTTTCCGCTACGGGACGTAGGGATAGATCCGGTCCGTCCCGGGCGACGGTTTGGTGTTGGCATAGGGCCTGGAGTGTGTTTTCCTCTGACTGTCTGCTCAGAGACGGGGAGCCGGCATGGGGCCTGAAGTGTATTTTTCCTCTGACTGTGTGCTCAGAGACGGGGAGCCGGCATGGGGCCTGAAGTGTTATATCGGACATTCACTAGTATTTATTATTTATGCGATTTATGATTTGAGACATTGCGCGTCATGCTAGATTTCGGAAAACCTATATTTATCATTATACTTGTGTTTTCATAAAACCTGGGGGTTAGTATGTTGATAACTGTTTTACTATTACTATATATAAACTTGGTCCACTCACCTTTGTTTTGCGCCCCCTTCAGGACCTTGGAACGAGGATTACGACCTAAGCTACGAGGCGTTCCCCTACCAGTGATTTGTGTCATATTCGCTCCGCTTCGCCACTTATTGTAATAGCACTTCTTTATTCTTAGTTCTGCTTGTACTCTGTATTAGAATTATGCTCTGGGCGTGCTGTGGGTTTACCTAATTTCAATATTTAGAAGTTGAATTTTTACTTGGGTTTTTAGCCTTTATTTCGTACTTTAGTTTATTTTCTCAGTTTTTGTTTTAATTAAATGGTTTCGTCACCCTTCAGGTGTCGGCCAGCACGTGACCATCTCGATGTCTCTAGGACCTCGGGGTCGGGGCGTGTCAGATTGGTATCAGAGCATGGTTAGTTCAGAGCATATTTAGGATTTCATTCCACCATTTGGTAGTCATAATTCTCATTACATTCTTAATCTCCAGTTATTCTAAATCTTTCTTACCTCTTTTCAGAATTATGGATCCCACTGGTGGGAATGTGCCTCGTCGAACTCGTTCTGGTTTAGGGGGAGGAATTCAACAGTTGACTAATGCTATACGTAATGCTTTCACTAATCGACCGAGTCGCACGTATATTGAGATTGCTCGGAGCCATGGTATTCCAGATCTTAATGTAGTTGGGGCTTGTCCGGAGGCCGAGGAGTGGCTTGAGCAGGTGGAGGACACTTTGGAGAGCATGAGATGCCTGCAAAATGAGTGGGTGGACACTGCAACGTATTTTATGAAGGGGGACGCTAAACTTTGGTGGAAATCGGTGAGGCCTCGTCCACCTAATGATCCAATGAATTGGGTTGACTTCAGGAGGGCTTTCAGCGATTATTTCTTGAGTCCCAGTTATCAGCTTAGGATGAGGCAACAATTCTTGGAGTTTCGCCAGGGCGATTTGAGTATCACGGAGGTAGACTGTACTTTTCGGCGCCTGGCAAGACATCATGCAGGGACTTATGGAAACCCAGGTGAAATGATGGTCCAGTTACTGATTTGCTTGAATCCTGATTATCGTGAAGCAGTGGCAGCAATAAGGCACAGGAGTTACGAAGAGATGATTGAGACTTGCTTGAGGATTGAACAGTCTAGGTGGGAGACTCAGCATCAGGCGCAGGCGCAGGCGCAAGCGCAGTTACAGTTTCAGGGACCACCAAGGTATCAAGACCGACCTCGGTACCAGAACCAGAGGGGTCGTGGATTTCGATCTCGGAGCGTGAGAGAAGCTGCTAGTTCGTCTAATTATGCTGGCCCTCGACATTCTTTTTCCTTTAAACGTCAAGGCCAGGGTTCAGGTTCTTCTAGCGAAGGCTCAGGCAATGAATCTGGGAGACGATCCTTCAGTCACTTCAGATCCCCCATCACGTGCCACAGGTGTGGAGGCACGGGACATATTGCCAGATATTGCCCATCTGAGCGACCCGCCGAGAGTTATGCTTCTGCGCCGAGTTACAGTGGAGGGAGTAACCCGAGCTCCAGTTATGGCGGCAATTTTACTCGAAGTGACAGTGGGAGTAGAAGCCAAAATTCTCAATTTTCCACTCAGAGGCAGCCACAGCAATTTGGTACAGCATCAGGTAGCCGCCCTCAAGGAAATCGAGCAGGCCGTAACAACCGAGGTTTTAGGGCTCGAGGTGGCCGTGACGGTGGTGCAGGACACCAGTTTCATGGACGTATCAACGCCATGACTCAGCAGGAGGCTGATCAGGACCCCCAAGTTATTACTGGTACGTTACTTATTTGTGGTAATTGGGCGAGAGTCCTAATTGATCTAGGTGCTACTTTTTCATTTGTGTCTTCCTTATTTGCACCGAATCTAAATTCGCAACCTACACCGCTTGGGTATGATATGCTTGTACAAATGCCGCATGGAGAGTTGTTTTGTGCACAGTGGGAGTATAGAGGTTGCCCGGTAGTGGTGGAAGAGGAAACACTGGAAGCTAACCTGGTTCCCTTCAATTTGGTGGAGTTCGATGTTATCTTGGGAATGGATTGGCTCTCCAGGCATCGTGCTTATGTCGCGTGTTGGGAGAAATCTGTGACGTTCAATCGGCCTGGACGACCGTCGATCACATTTCAGGGTGAGCGACGAATCCTTCCTAATAGTATTATTTCTGCTATCCGCGCTTCTAAGTTGTTGTCTAAGGGATGTGTAGGGTTTTTAGCCCACGTAGTGACGAGGGATAAACCTTCGTTGAGTCCTAAAGATGTACCAGTGGTGAAGAAATTCACCGATGTTTTTCCGGAAGATCTACCAAGGTTGCCACCTGCGAGGGAAATTGAATTCACCATCGATTTACTTCCAGGTACATACCCTATTTCGTTACCACCTTATCGGATGGCACCAGCAGAGTTGAGGGAATTAAAACTTCAACTTCAGGAGTTAGTGGATAAAGGTTACATCCAACCCAGCATGTCTCCTTGGGGTGCTCCCGTTCTTTTTGTTAAAAAGAAGGATGGTTCGATGAGACTTTGCATCGATTACCGGCAACTGAACCGGGTGACGGTGAAGAATCGTTATCCTCTGCCTCGGATCGATGATCTGTTTGACCAGCTGAAAGGCGCTCAGATGTTTTCTAAGATCGATCTTCGTTCGGGTTATCATCAGCTGCTAATTCGAGAGGAAGACGTACCGAAGACTGCCTTCCGTACTAGGTATGGACACTTTGAATTTCGTGTCATGCCTTTCGGATTGACGAATGCTCCCGCAGCATTCATGGATTTGATGAACAGAGTCTTCAGACCATATCTGGATAGGTTTGTGATTGTGTTCATTGATGACATTCTGATTTATTCCAAAAGTGTTGACGAGCACAGGAAACATTTAAGGTTGGTGCTGGAAAGGTTGAGAAGTCAGCAGCTGTATGCTAAGTTCACCAAGTGTCAGTTTTGGCTTAACCAGATCAGCTTTCTTGGACATGTAGTATCTGCTGAAGGAATTAGTGTGGATCCTCAGAAGGTGTCGGCAATAACTACATGGGAGCAACCGAGGAATGTTACAGAGGTGAGGAGTTTTCTAGGTCTGGCTGGCTATTATCGACGTTTTGTGCAGGGTTTCTCATCAATTGCCTTGCCTTTGAGTAAGTTGACTCGGAACGAGGATTACGACCTAAGCTACGAGGCGTTCCCCTACCAGTGATTTGTGTCATATTCGCTCCGCTTCGCCACTTATTGTAATAGCACTTCTTTATTCTTAGTTCTGCTTGTACTCTGTATTAGAATTATGCTCTGGGCGTGCTGTGGGTTTACCTAATTTCAATATTTAGAAGTTGAATTTTTACTTGGGTTTTTAGCCTTTATTTCGTACTTTAGTTTATTTTCTCAGTTTTTGTTTTAATTAAATGGTTTCGTCACCCTTCGGGTGTCGGCCAGCACGTGACCATCTCGATGTCTCTAGGACCTCGGGGTTGGGGCGTGTCAAATCTGGTATGTGTATCACTATTGCTTTGTATTGCTTCGAGCAAAGTATTCATTTTCTGGCCAATCGACTGCTCGACTTGCCGAGATTGTTCATTAAGTTGTTTTCGAAGAAACGACCTAGTTGAGGGATTAGAACCTTCCCCACCATCTTCGTCGCAATCTTCCGTTATTCCTTTGATGAAAATGCATGGAGTTTGGTTGGGAATTTCTGGGTTGCGAGGCTGTCCGCCGAGACAAACTTCCTTTTCTTGGTGTGTCGCACTTGCAGCCTCGGGTGGCACAACAATCAAGGGATTTTGTACCTGAGACAAATCTTGTCCAGGGCCCTATACTGGCAGGTCGGTTGTTGACTTTCCCATGATTGTTTTCTTTTTTACAAACCGTGTCTCAATAGTCATGAACTTCGAAGGTTTAGCACTGTGTCCCATTGGGCGTGCCAAAATGTTGACCCTAAAAATTACAAAGCCTACGTGGCGCGTAGGCCAAGTAATTAATGAGCTATCTACGTCTTTCGGTTGATGGGGGGTGTGCCAACTCGTCGGTCATGCCTGGCCGAGAAGTACAATTTGTTGATGCTGCGTTGAGCGCGTTGCTGAATTCTTGATGTTGCTACTGTGGCCGAGGAAGGAACAAGTCTCAGCCTTTGGATTGTCGAGCTTGAAGACAAGGCTGCTAATTTTGCGAAGTTCACGAATCGTCAGCGCCGAATTCGGTCATTGTGATTATATTCGTGAGAGTATAAGCACGTCAAATCGACACCAGACTATATGAACACAAGTACTCAAATGTGATGTATGTCTTGATGGTAAATGTGGTTCGACCGTCAGAATTCCGAACTCTGAAACTCACTTATGAGTATCCAATCATACAATCCCTCGGCATTCAATGTGCCGAATGTCGTAACTCGTAACACTTTACTTCGTCGAGAAGGCTAATAAGATGACCTCTGCCAATAAGGGTTCGGAAGCCCTTCTCGATCGAGACTTGGATAGATAACCAATCGGCCTCGACGCAGTGCTATTTATCCAAACTGAAGCTGTTTCTCGGTCGGCTGATTCTGCTGCAACAGTGTTGTTTATGAAAACTGAAGATGTTTGCCGGTTGCCTTCACAGTGCTGTTTATCCAAATTGAAGATGTGTGACGGAAAAAGAAAATAAAAATTCTCAAGATTTTTGAGAGGTTTGCGCAGAGCAATTGTGTGTTGAATTAGAAGGGGCTTGAATGATACACTCTTCTCTCTATTTATAACAACAAATCCTCCTCAAGATCGAGTTAAAACCACATTCGAATTAGGACTTCTTATTCTGATCCAACTTTGTCTCGATCAATCCTACTATTACTAGGACTTTGAACTTACCCTTTTTTCAGGCCGTATTCATTGCCGGTCGAAAATCCATATTGCCCTAGGACCCCTTATTGCATTAGGAGTTCTTCGACCTATTCGCTCATCTAAACTACTCCTTCTTGTAATAGGACTCGACCACCTTTACTGAATAGCTTGGGACCACTAGGCAGCCCATGATATATTTAGAAAAACTTTGGACTGAACCTAAGCTTGGCCCAAAATATTATTTTGAGCCCAGACAAGAATATAGGATGAGGGTGGATGAAATAGTTTTGAATTTGTTACCTATTTTAAGCACTTTTGACTTGGTTGAGAGATGATTGCCTGCTGCTCGCGTGTAGGAATCCCGGTATGCCTCAAGGGTATTTTTATCCTCTTCTATCCAAAAATCCACGTGTCGCCTTGTGATTATTTTTGGCTCCACAATATTGTCAAATGTTTGCAAAACTGTCTACATCCATATAAGCTTTGCGATAACTTTCCCGTCTTGAGATCAAGCCAACAACTGTGAACATGGTAAGTAAGTGAAAGTTACTGATGCTACTCCGAAGGCACTTTGTTTGGATTTAACTTCATGTTGTATTTCCAGAGCAGATCAAATGACTCTTGGAGGTGGGTCAGGTGGTACTTCTTTTCTGTGCTCTTGACGACCATATCATCTACGTAAACTTCCATCGTCTCTCCAATCTTTTCCTTAAAGATTCGATTGACAAGCCTTTGATAGGTTGCCCATATATTTTTAAGACCAAAAGGCTTAACTTTGTACCATGTACCTCGTCAATAACAAAGGACGTTGCTTCCATGTCTAGCTCATTTATCTTTATCTGATTTTTTCCAGCCTAAGCATCCATGAAACTTAGCAGCTCATGCTCTGCTGTCGAATCTACTAGCAAGCCAATTTGTGAAAGAGGATAAAGATCTTTTGGGTATACCTTGTTCAAATCAGTGAAGTCTACGCATACTCTCTATTCACCATTTTTCTTCTGCACTAGCACGACGTTGGCTAACCAGTTTGGATAATGTACTTCAACAAAGAAGTTAGTGTCCTTGAGTTCGACGATCTTGGATTCTATCATCTTGCTTCATTCAATTCTGTGATTTCACTTACACTAGATAATTGGTATGGTAGTTGTGATCAAGTAGAGGCAATGGTAGATCATGGAAGGATCGATCGTGGGTATATTTTCTGCGGACCAGGTAAACACATATTTGTTGGCTCGTGAGAAGTTAGTGAATATTTCTTTCTCTCGATCGGTCAGGTTTGATTCGATCCTGGCTTTGTGCTCCAGCTTGTCGGGATCAAGGCTATTTATATGGCATCTTCATAAGCTTTTGATTTCGAAGTGTTGTAGTCTTGGGGGTCGAGATACAGGTCGAATTCTTTGTAACTCGTCTGTTAACTCGCTGACTGTGATTGCTATGCTGACTCATCCATGGGAGTGCTAGAGCTTTACTCTCATTTCTGGATTATGTTCATGCTCTCGAAAGCGCAACATCGCACCATTGCTTGGTCTCCCTTATCTCCTTTACTCCAACTGGAATAGGGTAGCAGAGTAGCTGGTGGTAAGTTTACAAAACGACCCTCATCTTGTACAGCTAGTTTTGACCAAGAATGATGTTGTGTTGAGTTGGGCGGTCCACAACTTGGAAGGTTACCAGATGGTTGTAAAGTTTTGCCCGAACCATAGGTTCAATGTCCCCAGGGATCGGACGGTGGCCCGTTGAAGGTGTGGATGGTGATTTTTCCCTTGTTGGTGTTGTAGAAAATGCTCATTTTCTCAGCGACATCTTTGAAGAGGATGTTTACTCCTGATATGTTGTCCGCCAAGACCTGGCTGACTAAGGCGTTAAAGATTTGTACCTTGACAACAAGGGCATCATCGTGGCGATAGTGGACATCTTCCAAGTCTTAAAAGGAGAACACCAAGGTGTTAAAGTAAATAATTCGTGGTTTGTTGATGGAAGCCACCATTCGAGGCTTCTTGCACAATGTACCGGGCAAGATAAAGACCATAAAGCCTTCTAGATTTTTTGTGTTGTCTTTCGAGAGTAGGTCGTTGGAGCGATGCATCTGGGTTCAGATTAACAATTTTTTTGGGATCTGAATGGGAATTGCATAGATTGATGCCTCCTTAAAATTGAAGACAACATCTTCAAGATCTTTCACTCACATCTTTAGATCAACGAGTCCTGCTCGTTCTTTTGCTACAGGGCTCCCTCAGATGTCTTCCACAAGTGGACATATTTCCATTAGATCTTCCCATATAAGATCTATGGCGGAAACCCCATTGTTCCTGAGGCTAACATCGTGCATGGGGATGACACGAACACAGTAGGATGGTTTATGAGGGGCTTCTATAGGGGTAAAGTGATTTGATTGAAAGGAATATAAGTTCACTTTCAATGAAAGCATCAATTGTTGGAACCAAATTTGCGCCCCGCCGTGAATAATGGAGCAACAAATCTTAGGAACTTATAAAACAACAAATAGCTATGAGCAAGCTTGAAACTCCGAGGGGGAGGCATGCATGCCAAAGACTTTTCGAATTTCAAGTTAATAAACAAATATAAGACTCAAGTAGTGGACAAGAAAATTAGAATGCGATGTTTGTGTTACCAGAGACAAACCCTAGAAGGGCACATTTATACCAACCAGGAGAGAAACCTTTGTAGGAAAGAATCTTTGTTATAAGCTGGAAGAATCCTAGATGATATCTAGAAGTAGACATTGCGTCCTCTTTAGAAGTGTGATTACTTAGGGCACACGCCAATACTTAGATTGTAGGAACTCAAAGACATATAGAGGATCTGGCTACTTTCAACCCAGATCAAAGAACTCGAAACAAACTAGGCTTGAAAACACTTAACTAGACTCAAAGAACTCGAAACAAACTAAAGAGACTCAAAACAGCACAAAATAATCAAATACACTCAAACTAGACACTAAAGGGTGATTTGGATGAAAATTAATTTTAACTTGACTCAAAACACTTAAAACACAAGTTTGGACATATTCTAACTAATTTGACACAACAAAGTAAAGAGGATTGGGTTTTTGACGAATTTAAAGTAAAGACAAGTAGATTAAAGACTTAAACAAGTTTGGCACGAAATTGGGGGAAATTATGGGTGATTGGCTAGCTAAAAGGTCCTTCTCCACACATAACACACTTGCATACAAATCGATTTCCAGTTGCTTTTCCAATAAACCATGAACCTCAACGCCCCAGATTAACCGTGAACAACACTAATTAACCCTCAGATTTTCCTTAAGTCATTGAATTGGATGGATAATGCATTGGCAACCAAATTATTCTTCAATAGTTCCCTACATGAACATCATAATAGAGATACAATCAAAGATCATTAAGCT